GTATATTATGATGAATCTGAAGCATCAGTATCATGCCTGACATTAATACATAAGTTGGCTTATCATTTTCCCACTACAGCTATTAGCAATAAATTTCTTGTGAAAAGTTTGAGTGACTGTATGTTGGGTTTGGAGTCCAAATCGTCCAGTATGTTAAAGGCAAAATTAATCAATAGTTGTACATTCTGTAACGTCTTATATTATATCTGTAATGTCTTTTATATATAATTTATTTTAAAGTATAAATCATCTTACTAAATAACATTTCAAGGAATGGAGATTATGTATTACTTTGTGGAATAGCTATGGTTTTAAGAAAATTTACCATGGGACAAAATTTCCGTAATGTAACTTCTGTTTTCCTTTTGATTTAATATGTAACTTTGAACAAGTATAGAGAAAAGGAAAAAGTGGCCCCTGGGAATAAAGTCACTCAAAACCAAACAAGAAAAATTTTCTGGGAGGACTTTCTAGAAAATTTTCTTTGGTTTTGAGTGACATTAAGTGACCAACCGAAATACTTTACAGGTGATATGTCTAGAATGTTACTTGTCCTTAAATTCAGCCTTGGGCTCTGCCACTAAGCTAAGCTACGTACTGCCTTTTAAATATTCCCTTTGATTAATTTAACTCGCCCAGCTTGGAATTACAGATCCTCTTCCTCTATTCAGTGTATATGGTGAGAACTCAGTACTTCTTAGTATGTTGGGAGTTTGGCTCTTTATTTTGTTAATTTTACTCTGTAATTGTTACTAATTGATTTTTGAATAGGGAGCACATTCCCTTGGTTCAAAATTCAAAATTCAAAAAGTATGCAATGAAAAATCTCTCTCCTGTTCCCATACCCCAGCCACCCAGTTCCTCTCCTGAGATGCATCCGGTGTTTACAGTTTCTTATATATCCTCTCAGCAAGAGTTGATGTAGATGTAAGCAAATACATTCATGTGTACATACTTGCCTACATATTTTTTCTCTCATACCCCCTTCTTTAAAAAGCTAAATGGTAGTGTATATTGTATACCTCATTCTCCCCCTCACCTTTTTTGCTTGACATCTTAAGATACTTGCTTAATACATCTTGGAGATTTTTCCTTCTCAGTACATTGTGTAATGATGGTTGCATAATCCTCCACTGTATGGCTATACTGTGATTTATTTAACCAACTCCCTATTGATAGTTGGGTTGTTCTTACGTTTTTGCCTTTATACGACTGTACTTATACATAAGCTATGTATGTATACATACATATATACATACATAGCTTATGCAATTGGATATTTTTATAATTCCAACATAAAGTATTTTCAAATACAGTTTCCTTTAAGCAATATATGTCAGTTTTTGTATTAAAAAATATTGAGCTCACTATTAACACATTATAACTCATAATAGGGCTACAATAGATAGGACATAAAGGAGAAATTGATTAGAAATATATAGCCAATAGAGGTTCAAATCGCTGAGATTTATACTTAACCTATTTTCTTCTTCCAAGCCCTAATGAGTCTGTTATCTGAAGCAAAGAACACAAGAACTGTATAAAATGCTTCACCTGAGCCAGATTCTGATTTAGGAACTCTCTGCATTTAGCACCTGAGCAACCTGGGATTGTGCACCTGGGCAGGAGGAGACTATTCCAGCAGCTATTTCAGAGGAGAAACCCTCCCCTTCTCTTTTGACCCCTAGATATTTGATCAAGTTCCTTGCAAAGCTTGCTCAGACCAGCGATGTGAATAAAATGACTCCCAGCAACATTGCGATTGTGTTAGGCCCTAACTTGTTATGGGCCAAAAATGAAGGGTAAGTCATCTTCCTCTGTATCACATCCTTTGAATTTCTTCTTTCCCACCTGTCGGAATGCACAGAAATGTAACTCGGGTTACACATTCTAGTTTAAGATCAATTCGAGGTGTTCTGAAATTGGTTTTCTCATTCAGCCAATATTCTTGGAACACAGCTGTGAGCTGGGTGCTGTCCCAGCTGATGGTGACACAAAGATGTGTGAGATATTGTCCCAGTTCTCAAAATGCCCCTGCTCTTAGGCAGTCAGATAGCTCAGTGGCTACAGTACAGTGATAAGAAAAATACACATATCCGTGTGTGTGTATATGATATTGTAGGAGGGGTAGCACTTTACTTCCACCCTCTTAGGGTGTCTGGCTGGACCTGAGAACTAAATGGACGTAAGACAGGCTAACAGGAGAAAGCATACAGATTTTTACATTTTAATGCCCAGCAGAGAAGTCATTTAATTCACGCCTACTTAGCACATTAATAAAAAAAAACACATCACTTTGGAGAGTAACTTGGGACTACTGGGAATGAGATTTCACGTATATTATGATGAATTAGAAGCATCAGTGTCATGTCTGACATTGGAGTTCCCATAGGAAAATGAAGATCCAAAGAAGCAGTTAAGAGCCGAATGCTTATATATGAAGTTGGACGAAAAGTGAATTGTGAAAACATGACCAGACAAAGGAGTGTGGGCTAGGGCAGTTCGTTATGGAGAAGTGACTAGGAAGATAAGGATTTGTTCAGCAAGGTTTGTGTATGGAGGTTTCCGTCAGCCTTGCCTTCCCATCCCTGGTGTTAGGAATGTTTCTTTCCTCCTGGTATATAGAGGGAGGGCATCCTTCACGTGGGAGTTTATCTCCTGCTTTCAGGATGAAAAAGGAAGGTCGGAGCACTCTTCTTGCATGTGATGATTTTCAAGTATCTTTAACTCAAAATAATCCTATGCCTAAGGGGCATATTTTGGGATGGCATATTCTGCCCCCTTTATCAAGTATGACAGCAACAGAGGTAAAGAAACATAATTCAGGCTGAGGAGTCAGGGAAAGCTCTGGCTAGGGAATGGCACTGGAGCTGCACCTTGATGAGTTAATAAGTTTCCTACAGCCAGGACCTGGATGGGCCAAGACACTGTTGAAAGGGCCTGGTTCCCATCTTTACAGGTGTGTCACGTAGTCTCGTGAATCTTGAAGACAAAGAACGTGAGGCTGTGACTGGGAAGGCCAGAGCCTTCAAGGTCCTCACACATCCTGCAGAGGTGTCTGGGACTTATTTTCTGGCTGGTGGGGAGTCATTCATTAAGGTTCCTAAGCAGAAGAATGTCTTGATTAAGTTGCACTTAGATAACTTTATTGGCATTGTGAAATATAGATTGAGTAGAGGAGGGGTCGGGGGATCCGCTAGAAAGCTTCTGGGAAATTGCCACTCTGTTGGTGGCATTGTGATGATCTCATTTAGTAATCAGAAGTAACCTTTTGAATAGAAGACATAAGGGAGAAATTGATTAGAAATATATAGCAAATCGAGGTTGAATCATTGACATTTGTACTGTCGTCCTTGTGTTTGCGGTTGAGGACACGGACTCTTAGAAGGAACAAGTAATTTGCTTAAGGTCACACACAAGGAACTGGTGTGCCCAGGTTCTGGGTACAGAGCCTGTGTCCTTATTAACCCTTATTAGCTTTCCAGTACTCTTCTAAAAGAAAAGTGGGAAAGGACGTGAGAGGACAGTGCCACCCTAATCCGGCAGGGTTCTAAGGCACACGGACTGATCAGACTCCGTGTGGGAGGAAGGCTGGGAAGGATCATTTACAGGCAGAGCTTCAGTTTTAAACTGGAATTTGAAAGGAGCGAGAAATTTTACTTGGTCGGAAAGTGGGTGACAATGTTCTGGTGAGAAGAGAGGTCAGAGTGATAGAGGAGAGGCTTGAGGCAGTCAGACCTGGGATCGAGCTTGGGAACCCAGTGTCCTCATGTAGGCCTCATAATAGGTTATTGTAAAAATTAAGCAAGATGAAGAACCTGCGGCCTGGTAGGTGGCCAGAAAGTGTCAGGCCTTTTGCAAGTGGTTTGCTTTTGTGGTGTTCTGACTCCCAACTGAAACAGGAGCTTGACAGCAGTGATAATAACTCTTACTTATTTTTTTCTTCTTTCTTTCTTATTCTTTTTTTTTTTTTTGAGACAAGGTCTCGCTCTGTTCTCCAGGCTGGAGTGCGGTGGCGTGATCATGGCTCACTGCAGCCTCAACCTCCTGGGCTCAGGCGATCCTCCCACCTTAGCCTCTCCAGTAGCTGGGAGTACAGATGTGCACCACCACACCTGGCCAATTTTTGCAGAGACGGGGTTTCACTATGTTGCCCAGGCTGGTCTTGAACTCCTGGCCTAACTGCCTCAACCTCCCAAAGTACTGGGATTACAGGTGTGAGCCACTGCGTCTGGCCTACTTATTTTCTTCTTTTTGAGCCTTGGCATCAGACACTGTTAACATCTGAACACTTATCTTGAGACTAGTCCACATATATGGCGACCTTAAGTGTGAGTGGGAGGCTCAGGTTTCAACATAATAAAAGGCACGCTGTACCAATGCATGTTCTTGGTGACATCATAAGCAAAATTGCTTTTTAGTGATCTTTAGTCTTAGAACATAGCTACCACCCATGTGTGATGCTGTTCCAGTGGGAAAGTGCAACCCTCGTTCCAGACCAGTTCCAGACCAGTTTAAAACCGGCATTTGACACAGCATTGGTGACTGACTGGTTTCACTGCCCCACCAGGGTCTGTGTGTAGCGGGCACTGTGGTGGTTGTCACAGTGCAGATGAAGGAGCAGCCAAGCCAGAGTCATTTTTTCCTGG